AAGTGGTGGGTCCAATCTCTTCAGCCCAAACATGTTCAGTTTGGTTCGACAGTGAGTGGCAAGCAGCATCAAACAAGAACATGTTTGAGTTAGTCATGTCCTAAAAATGTTACAAACTTTACAACACAATTTCCTTCATTCCACAACACCCCCAAACCATACGGAGAGTAAGGCACTCGGATACACTGCAAATTTCAAGGTTGCTCGTAGTGTGACTTTTGCAAAATACACCCACTGGAAGACCACAAACAAGTTCACCCTTAGCATGTTTGTGTTTACGACAAACACATATGTTCGACTACGATGGCGAACAATCAAACGCGCTTTTCAAAAAGAAGGATTCGTTAGAACCAAACATGGTTGGTTTACCCACTGAACAGTATACACGGGCACACACACGAGTCAATTGTTTTCTCAAATCATATCACTAACTAAAAAATCTTGAGTTTCGAGTCCCCACTTTCCCTGGAAAAACGCGCTGAATTAAGGCATGTTTAACTCGCCAGTTAAACTAACTCAAAAACAACTTGCCAAACTAAGCAAGGCTTTTAAACTTGTGAGTTGTTTTCTGACTCATCGAGCCAGAAAAAAATCACCGGGAGCAATTCGCTGCCACATACACAGAATTCTACCAATTCGCTACAAGATGGGGAATTTTGTCGCCGGATCTGCACAGATGTGACACTGTTGTGGGTGGCGGGCAGTTTGCTTCATGTTGAGTTTCCTGAACTCGCTTTAGTTCGTTAAAACCCAACCACAAGTAAAACCAAAGAAAACCATATGGTGGAGACATGAGTCGGGCCTGAGTAACAAAAAACGTGAATAGCTTTACTTGATTTGAGTTAGTGGCCCAAAAAAACCTTGTTAATTTGAGTCAAGTAAAACTCGACTCGTCATTTGTCCACGGAGCATTTTTATGATGCATTTGACCTAATCATGTTCTTTTTTTTATTTTTTATTTTTTATCAACCCTGCCTGTGGCTTCGTGGTAGTTGAAAAGATGCAAGGTTTTGAGCCCCTCCTAATGAATGGAGCTTCCAAAGACTATCTTTATATGCATGGACATTAGCTTCATGGATTGGTCTCATTGAACATTTACTGTCTAAATGCTAAGGTCTGGCTATCCGAGCATTTACCATTTGAGTGTTGACTGATATATGGGACCTAGAAGCCCTTACCACACCTTTAAATCAACGCTAGATAGTCCCCACGGGGTCACCTCCAAGGGTCCTTGGGTGCCTGGTTAAACCAGCCCCTATCCAAGGGTCCGTGTTTGTAGAGGGTTTCCCTAAGTATGAAAGTCGTGTGTCCTTAGAACATTCCCAAACTCATGTGCGGAAGCAATAACGACTGATTGGCTCGTATGCAAAAATTCCTCTTCACGTCAATACGCTGATAGAGGAAAATATTCACTCCAAAAAGTTGTTTACAATGAAACACAAGCACACATTTATAGAACTACTAATGCACGAGCAAAGCAAACACAAGGCAAGCATTTAACAGTTATAAAACTGTATTATGAGACTTCGCCATGTTGTATTGGTGAAACGGTTGTCAAACTTCAGTTGCATTTGGCTTAACCCGCTTCATTAGAATAATTGACTTCGAGTTGTACTTGATCCAAACGCCCCTGCTGACTCCCCTCGCGAGCAATCATGAATTCCTGTTAACATTCATGAAGCCTCGTGTGGGAAAACCGTTTTCCCATCACAAAAACCCTATGCCAAGTTTGGTCGAATTCTGATTTCGATTGTCTTCGCGTAAAAAAATCCGTAGCCAATTTGGACCGACGGTTGGAGTCATTTGATAGGAGCTCCGAGACACATCTCGCGACAAGGCTTGGCTCGGTTCAAGTTCCAATTTGGCACGCGAGCTTTTCCGGATGACATTCCGACGCAATCCGTTTTGTTGCAAATTCGTGACCAATTTATTCAATACTAAATTCTGTTTTTGTTCATTTTGGATTTTGGGGATTTCAAAATTGCATTTATTATTGCGGTTTACAAGAACCATTATTCAGCATGCTAGCAACAATCAGTCTTAGCACCAGGTCAAATAGCCTACGCATTGGCGGGCCTTGAAAGCGCCCGGTGGGCAAGGACGACATCTCCAAGGTCGCCGTCGTCGATGAGGAACTTGTTCGGAAAGACGAACGCACCCATAGCCGGATCGTGGGGGATCCTCCGCTCCACGACAGCAAAATGGATCATCTGTTTGACCTTTTCGCACCACTCCTGGTAGTCTGGCCTGTTCTGCTCTGGCTGGCTACTGATTCGCTTGCGACGCTTATCCTGCAGAAGGGGCCATTCGATCTGCAATGTGGTGTAGTAGGGTTGGGTGGGTGGTTTATGAGGAGGGTAGGTTACGGGTAAATGAGGCAACTGAAAGCGGTGATGCAGTCGTCACTATCTACGTAACTGCAAAGGCCTAATCGACCAGGGATTAGGGTTGAAGTACAGGCAAGGGGTTAAGGGGATGAGGCATGGGGGTACAAACACATATCTACATCTTTACCGAAAACAGGCCCCATGCCACCATGCGGCTCTTAAACTTGGTGAACAGCGCCCCGCCCCTCTTGAAGGAGATCTTGAACGCATAAGCGAACAAGGGGTTGCTGAAGGGCGTCCCGGTGGCCTTGTCAAAGTGCCAGTTGAGGGCCCACTGTTCTGTTTTTTGGCAGGGAGGGTATGGGTTGGAAAGGGTTTTGTAGAGAAATCAAGTGGGGGGATGAGTGTCAGGGTGAGCCACATCGCACGGTGATATGTAGCTGCCAACTGGCATATGGTAGGGCATATTGTGTTTTCGAGTTGCACATACCATCTCTGTACTCGGCTAGGAGTTGAACGTCATCGAACCAGGTCGTTGGGTGTAGCTCAGTGGGCAGGCTATCCACGAGATGGCTGTAATCGGCAAGGCCCATGCCGGTGTATGTTGCTGGCCTGAGGGTGGAGTTGATAGTTGACCTTGTTGAGGACAGCTGGTGGTTGAAGACTCCCATGGTTGACTTGTCATTGTGCAACCACAGCAGCTTCATTGCCTCGAGCCCTTCTGCAGACAAGTGGACAGAGAATGCTTCGAACACTTCCTCCGGTGCAGGGTAGTACTGTATTTTCTCCGGTGGGTTCAGAAACATGAGCTGAGAGCACACTAAGTAGGCTTTGTTCTGCGCAGTGGTGTAAGGTATACAACACGACATGGGAGAGAGAAACCAGCAGTTATGTGGGTGGCCGCGTGACCATGGGATTGTGACTAGCAACACTGTGTGAACTTGCCACGTCACACCCTGCGCCATCCGACACGTCCACCAACAACCCGGCCCATTCTGCCACGTCACACCTCCCTACCACAAGCCACGTCACCCCCCACCCACCTGACACGCCTCGCTTCGTCATGCGCAGTTGTCACGTGTACCTTTTCTAACCGCCACGTCATCCCCAACCCTCACATGCTGCCACGTCACACCCACCTGCATCCGCCACGTCATCCCCAACCCTCACCTTCCGCCACGTCAGACCCTCCTGCATCCGCCACGTCCACCAACCAGCCCCACGTGCCACATCACACCCTCCTGCATCCGCCACGTCCACCAACAACCAGCCCCACGTGCCACGTCACACCCTCCCATCCCATGCCACGTCACCCCCCCACCCACCTGACACGCGTCGCCTCGTCAGTGGCCGCTCCTGTGTACCATTCCAAACCGCCACGTCAGCCCCAACCCTCACATGCTGCCACGTCACACCCTTTTGCATCCGCCAACAACCCGCCCTACTTGCCACGTCACACCCCCACCAAGAGCGACGTCACCCCCCACCCACCTGAAACGCCTCGCTTCGTCATGCGCCGCTCACGTGTACCCTTGTAGGGTGCCACGTCATCCCCAACCCTCACCTTCCCCCACGTCACACCCACCTGCATCCGCCACGTCATCCCCAACCCTCACCTTCCGCCACGTCACACCCTCCTGCATCCGCCACGTCCACCAACCAGCCCCACGTGCCACGTCACACCCTCCTGCATCCGCCACGTCTACCAACAACCAGCCCCACGTGCCACGTCACACCCTCCCATCCCATGCCACGTCACCCCCCCACCCACCTGACACGCGTCGCCTCGTCAGTGGCCGCTCCTGTGTACCATTCCAAACCGCCACGTCAGGCCCAACCCTCACATGCCGCCACGCCACACCCTTTTGCATCCGCCAACAACCCGCCCTACTTGCCACGTCACACCCCCACCAAGAGCGACGTCACCCCCCACCCACCTGAAACGCCTCGCTTTGTCATGCGCCGCTCACGTGTACCCTTGTAGGGTGCCACGTCATCCCCAACCCTCACCTTCCCCCACGTCACACCCACCTGCATCCGCCACGTCTTCCCCAACCCTCACCTTCCGCCACGTCACACCCTCCTGCATCCGCCACGTCCACCAACAACCAGCCCCACGTGCCACGTCACACCCTCCTGCATCCGCCACGTCCACCAACAACCAGCCCCACGTGCCACGTCACACCCTCCCACCCCATGCCACGTCACCCCCCACCCACCTCTCACGCGTCGCCTCGTTACGCGCGGCTCCTGTGTACCATTCCAAACCACCACGACAGCCCCAACCCTCCCATTCTGCCACGCCACACCCTTTTGCATCTGCCAACAACCCGCCCTACTTGCCACGTCACACCCCCCACCAAGAGCCACGTCACACCCCCCACCAAGAGCCACGTCACCCCCCACCCACCTGAAACGCCTCGCTCCGTCATGCGGCACTCCCTTGCACCCTTTCACACCGCCACGTCATATCCCAACCCTCACCTTTTGCCATGTCACACGCACTTGCATCCGCCACGTTCACCAACAACCCGCCCCACTTGCCACGTCACACCCACCCACCCCATGCCACGTCACCCCCCACCCACCTGATACGCGTCGCCTCGTCACGCGCCGCTCCCGTGTTCCCTTCGAACCCGCCACATCAGCCCCAACCCCGACCTTGTTGCCACGTCAACCCCAACCCGCCCCATTTGGCCCGCCACATACCGGGAATGGGTTTGTCTCCTGCAACACTAGCACTCGTGCCTTGTCCACGGCGCTCATCGGCGGCGGGGTACCAGCCATAGGCAGGGCTGCCGACCCGCCGGCATAGCTGGCAGGTACTCCACGACGCAGGCCGAGCTGTGCAAACATGGCGTACATCTCAGACCGCAGCGCCTGGAACTCCTCCCGTGTAACAAACTGCTCGTGCTCCTCACTTTCACCTAGGGCACCCATGAGCGGAGGAAAAGGGTGTGAAGAATCCCCCCTCTGGCCAAGGGTATCAACGTCTTCTGCAGCAGTCCCGTGTGCCCTCACACTATCACGCTGGCGGGAAAAGGGGAGCTCAGGGAAGGGATTGGCATAAGTGCCTGCCTGATGCCCGCGCGAAGGACCGGCGATGGGGGAGACCGCCCTGCCCCGGACAGGAGAAGCGTGGAGTTGCCGAAATGGGTACGAGGGTGAGGCGAGTGAGGAGTGCGTGACGGGGACGGGTGGAGGGGATTCGGATTCCTCTCCTCTTGGCGCGCCGGGTGCCGTCGCAGCGACTTTGCTGGGGCCGGCCCATGGCGTGTAGAACCTTGGTGCGCCGGACGAGAGCGGTGTAACACTCGCTATTCCGGCAGCCTTCGTTAGATGCATTCGTTGCACGCTTAAGGGCGGCCCAATGCCTGTAACGCGAGGGGCTGAGATGTAGAGGGAGTGGGAAAATAAAAATTGGAGTCGATCGGTTTCAAGGCGGGGCCAGACATGCATGCATATTCAGAAAGGTTTGAATCTAGATCGGGTTTAGGGTTGTCCTGGTTTGAGACAAGAGGGTTTACCTTGCTTGGCAGATTCGTCAACCTTCTCCTTCCCTGCAGGAGAGAAACAATGTGAATAAAGGGTGTTATTTGGGACGGTTTAGCAGATTGTTTAACACGTCACGCCAGTTGTATTGGACACAATGCTCACCTTTCTGTTGTCCCTTCGGTTTTGGGGCAGCCTGCGCCTTCTCGTTGCCACCTTTCCGCGGGGTGCTTCGGCGCACGCTGCGACGTTTACCGGCAGGTTCCTTCTTGCCGGTACCCACTCGAACCCCTTTGGCGCGGCCACCCTTTCCTCCTCCATCCCCTTTTGCACCCTGGCTCCCTTGCTTTTTACCAACCCCTTCACTTTCGACCTTCACCTTACGCGCCTTCGGTTTGCCCGCTGCTTCGCCGCGCGCAGCGTCACCTGCCCCGCGTTTTCGGGAAGGGCGAGTCCGGCCCCCCTCCTTCCCTGTCCCACTCACCCGACCGCCACGCCCGCCCCGTCTCTTCCCTGGCGCCACATCCTCCTCCTCCTCCTCCTCCTCCTCCTCCTCCTCCTCCTCCTCCTCCTTCTCTGATGCCTCCTCCTCCTCCTCCTCCTCCTCCTCCTCCTCCTCCTCCTCCTCGTCACCCTGCTCCTCCTCCTCATCCCCCTCCTCCTCCTCCTCCTCCTCCTCCTCCTCCTCCTCCTCCTCCTCCTCCTCCTCCTCCTCCTCTTTGTCCTCCCCGCCATCATTCTCATCTTTAGCATCCTCCCCAACATCCGCGTCTTGCTCCTCCGCTTCCTCTTCATCCTCCTCTCCCTCCGCATCCTCCTCCTCATCCTCCTCCTCCTCCGTATCACCGGGGTCTTCATCGCCCCGTTTCGGCCTCGTTCCTGTCGCTGCTTTCTTGCCTCTCCTTCCGCCAGATGCTTTTCTTGCTGCGGGGCGGCCCTTCTGGCGCAATGCTTGACCGCCCGCCTTGCCACTAGCTTCCTTGGCGCCTCGCGGTGTGTCAACTTCCGCGCCTCCGGCGTTGTCAGCACTACCTGTCGTCTGGCACCTCTTCGCCTGCGTGGTGAGGTCCCCGGGCACGGCGGAGTCATCATCCTCCTCCCCATCGCTCTTCCTTTGCCTACGCCTTCCCCGTCCACCAGAAGGAGGAGAGCCACCGACCAGCCCCACCGACTCGTGCTGTGCCACCTTGTCCTTATCCAGCACGGCTGCAGAAACTTCGACCACGCTCGGCTGGAGCAGCGTCAGATGGTGTTGCGTTGCCGCCTCCTCGGACTCCTTGGTTGCGGCATGCTCGGCGCGAGGATCGCCTCCGTGATTTCCCCCTGTCGCCGAACCCTCCATCTCCGCCGACGGGAGTGCAAGACTCGCGCTCCCTCGCCCTGGATCTTCGTTGCCGCCAGTGGTGCCGTCTTTATTCGGACCGGGCTCGGTTCCAGCAGAGGCACCATCCGCAGCTTTGTTCACTGTAGAAACACGCTTGCGTGGCGTTGGTTTAGGCCCCTTGTCTGCCGCTTTCTTGCCGGCCTCCTGTTGACCGCGCGCGACCTTTTTTGCCGCCGCTTTTTTCGGCCCAATGCCACGAGCGACGGACGCATTGTTTTTTTTAGTGCCGCCACCACTCTCCCTATCGATTTGTTTAGACGTCCCCCTTGTCGCGCGGCGGCCGGCCTGTTCCTCCTCCATTGCTTGGTTACGTGTTGCACGTGTCATGGTAATCGTAGGAAGAGCAAAGTTGCAAATCGCGCGGAAGGGTTGAGCCGGTTTCGAAAGGGTTTTGCTACTGAATCCCACGAAGGCATAATCGGCCGTCTATCACTGTTATGTGTTTACGAAAACAGCCGCTTCAACTAAGTCTGAAATAGTAGCCACTATGCTTCGCGCTAAGGCCGATCTGGAGAGGCGTGTGTCAAGGCAACGAGCAGCGTCAAAGTGTTGGCCCAGGGAGTGACGGAAGCAGGTGGGTGGGGCACGAGGGTGGTTGGGGTGAGTTGCGAGACTAGAGAGAGAAATGTAACCCTATCAGGCTACATTGGACGGTGTACGTGTAGCCACCCTAGCATAAACCCACCTTCCGCACGATCTCAGCCGCCCAATGGCTGAAGTACCTCTTGGCTGATGACTGTGTTGCGGGGGGGATCGTTTGAGATGCGTCGGCCAATGACGGTTGCCAACACATCAATCACAACAAAGGGTAAACCTGGTGTGAAACCTACAGTGCGAAATTAGTCAAATCCCTGCAAAGTACAGTGTTTTCGGTTGCAAAGTAACAACGCATTTCATCAAACTCTAAGTTGCAACTGGTTTTGTACGGGGTTGGGGTAAGTTAATCGGTGATTCTCACGTCACACACACAACGACCGTCTTGAATTATTACTTAGGAAAGATGTACTGCGCACTTTTAGGCTTTGCCACAATGGTTTAGGGCCAGCGGACGTCATTCTAACACGATTATCAATAATAACAAACGTGAATCCGTTGTGGTATGGTGTTGGATTGTCATCCATTCTTGCACAGACATTACACAAGGTGCTTAGAAGGAGTGGTATGAAGCACAGGCCCAACGCACAAGCGTAGATGCGTTATCGACAGTCATGTTTAGACTGTGCGACGATGCATCGTTCAGGCCTCCGCGTTGCGCGACTTGGTGAATCCGTTGTGGTATGGTGTTGGATTGTCATCCATTCTTGCACAGACATTACACAAGGTGCTTAGAAGGAGTGGTATGAAGCGCAGGCCCAACGCACAAGCGTAGATGCGTTATCAACAGCCATGTTTAGACTGTGCGACGATGCATCGTTCAGGCCTCCGCATTGCGCGACTTGGTGAATCCGTTGTGGTATGGTGTTGGATTGTCATCCATTCTTGCGCAGACATTACACAAGGTGCTTAGAAGGAGTGGTATGAAGCGCAGGCCCAACGCACAAGCGTAGATGCGTTATCGACAGCCATGTTTAGACTGTGCGACGATGCATCGTTCAGGCCTCTGCGTTGCGCGACTTGGTGAATCCGTTGTGGTATGGTGTTGGATTGTCATCCATTCTTGCACAGACATTACACGAGGTGCTTAGAAGGAGTGGTATGAAGCACAGGCCCAACGCACAAGCGTAGATGCGTTATCGACATTCATCTTTAGACTGTGCGACGATGCATCGTTCAGGCCTCCGCGTTGCGCGACTTGGTGAATCCGTTGTGGTATGGTGTTGGATTGTCATCCATTCTTGCGCAGACATTACACAAGGTGCTTAGAAGGAGTGGTATGAAGCGTAGGCCCAACGCACAAGCGTAGATGCGTTATCGACAGCCATGTTTAGACTGTGCAACGATGCATCGTTCAGGCCTCCGCGTTGCGCGACTTGGTGAATCCGTTGTGGTATGGTGTTGGATTGTCATCCATTCTTGCGCAGACATTACACAAGGTGCTTAGAAGGAGTGGTATGAAGCGCAGGCCCAACGCACAAGCGTAAATGCGTTATCGACAGCCATGTTTAGACTGTGCAACGATGCATCGTTCAGGCCTCCGCGTTGCGCGACTTGGTGAATCCGTTGTGGTATGGTGTTGGATTGTCATCCATTCTTGCGCAGACATTACACAAGGTGCTTAGAAGGAGTGGTATGAAGCGCAGGCCCAACGCACAAGCGTAGATGCGTTATCGACAGCCATGTTTAGACTGTGCAACGATGCATCGTTCAGGCCTCCGCGTTGCGCGACTTGGTGAATCCGTTGTGGTATGGTATTGGATTGTCATCCATTCTTGCGCAGACATTACACAAGGTGCTTAGAAGGAGTGGTATGAAGCGCAGGCCCAACGCACAAGCGTAGATGCGTTATCGACAGCCATGTTTAGACTGTGCAACGATGCATCGTTCAGGCCTCCGCGTTGCGCGACTTGGTGAATCCGTTGTGGTATGGTGTTGGATTGTCATCCATTCTTGCACAGACATTACACAAGGTGCTTAGAAGGAGTGGTATGAAGCACAGGCCCAACGCACAAGCGTAGATGCGTTATCGACAGCCATCCATTCTTGGATATTCGTTCTTCACGGTGCGGCACGATATATGTATTTGCTCCAAGCACCAATCATACGTTACGGCATGGAGTTACCGGGTAGTTCCCGTATCGTTATCGAGTAAGGATTGTTCAAGAACAGTCCCAAGGATATGAATGTTTACTATTTATGAATGATACGAGTTTCTTGTTAAGTTGTAACTGTACATATGCATTTCCAGGTTTGTTTGACGCCTCTGTAGCTCACCTACGTAATTCCGATTTTGAGGCTATATCGATTCGCGACACAATCAGAGATTCAAACGGATCTCTTCCCGCTCTTCCTCATCCTCCTCGACTCTCACGCACAGTTCATTAACACTTGTTCTAGACTCAATAGGCACGTCCTTCTCGCCTTGCTTGCGAATCACACACACGACCATGAGACTTAAGATCCAGTGCATCTCCCCTGGCCACGTCGTGGTCGCTGTAAACGGGGGCGACACGCCTTGTAGGGAAGACGGCCCGTGCTATGGGCGGTCTGTATCGTGCCTGGTAACGACCAGGCGGCTCGACAACGTTAGCCAGTCATATACATTAGCGCGTGCGTCAAGTGCCAGTCGTGCAGTGATACAAGCCGCCCACCACAGTGCGCGCATTGGCGATGATCGTGTAGCTGTCACAGACTTCTTGAACGGGGTAGTTAATGCGTTCACAAGCTTCATCACGGGTAGTAGCTTCATAGGCCAGGTCTCGACTCTACAACGGATCCGTAACTGATGGGCTCTTTACCAGGCGTCGTTTGCGAGTTCTGCAACAGATGGTTCCCCAACGCCCAAGTATATGGCGGTCATAAGTCACGGCGGACCCCTTGCCAAGGACTATCCGCCGTGGCGAGGCCCACGCGATCTGCACCGACCGCCGGTCTTCACGCTTTGCTATTCGTCCACGACATTCTGTCGGACGCTCCAGCCGCTCCCGGTTCACCTACAGCATCTAACGCATCCAACGCCGTCAGTGTGAGCCGACCTCCACGCGTTCCTGATGCTCACGTTGACGAAACTCCCAACGACGTGAACGAGGGGCCTCCTGAAGATGAACATCAACCACGGCATGGAGCTCCTGCGGCTGAGACGACTGACCATCCTGAGAGCCGGCCCGAAGGGAGTCATGCCGCGCCGCCAACCGTCATCTCCGGACAGAGCAATGCCATGCCCCTCAATCCGCTCGCGTTGAAGCTACTGCATTTCGTCCGGCGCGTGAATGGCGGAATGGGAATGGCCGAGGTTGACATCAACGGCCTGCTTCAGCTAGTCGTAGAGCCCGGCCTTGCGCCTCTTGTGAACTCGGAGCTCCAGAACTGTAAGGATCTGGAGCGGTTCGAGTTGGAGCGCTTGGCAGGGCTCAATCGCGGATGGTCGGTGGCGACCTTCGAGATTGACGGTCATCCACCACAGCGCTTGCTCTTCCAGAACTCAGCCCAGGTAAGCCGACTTTGCATTCAAGGCCGTGAAATGATGATGAGGCACACAGGGTTTGCATGTACTTAGTTTTCCTTGTATTAACCGTACACCCACCTTCTCCGCCACGAACCATGCCTCTCCTCTCACCTGCTTTCGCCACCGTACACCAGGCATTCGCTGAAATGTTTGGACATCCCAACAACGCGCCCGGCTTCAAGCTCAAGGCGCGTGTAGATGAGGACCCTGACGCAGGCGGCCGTCGCTATACCACGCCCGAAACAGGAACGTGGTGGAATGATGCTCAGGTAAGGAAAGACCACGTTGCCACCCCAAACCCAATCCTGAGTCATGCATCCATTGCAGCACTGATCTCTCAAGAGCATCTTGAGTGTTAAACCGTGTGTCCGTTGCCGCTTTGTCGTGCACTGCAGGAACACTTCGGTTGGTCCGAAGTTGTGGGGGGGATCATCTTCTATTCGGATGTGACGCACATGAGCAACAACGGCCGGAAAAAGGCGTGGCCGCTCATGATGACGCTGGCGAACATCGCCCAGGCCAAGCGATGGGGGAAAGCCAGTCACACACTACTTGCCCTCCTTCCAATCCCCCCATCTGCAATGTCTGCCATGGAGAAGGTGATGCTCTTCCAGCGTTGCGTCATCACCGTGCTGCAGCCGCTTCTTGATGGCATCGCCAGGTCCGTACTCGGTTTGCATCTTGCTAAGACATCATCTCACCACCTGCATGGTATGCAAACCCTCTCTGTATGTAGCATGGCCCTTTGCCCCTCGTCGTTCCTCCCTAAAAGCCGCAACCTTGAATGCCTGTTGCCACTCACTCCATTCCTTGCAACGGGTTCCGTCTCAGGGACCCTTTCGGAGATTGGCAAACC